CCCCCGAGAGGAAAGGACAAGTACGTGGATAGAATGCTGTCTCAATCAACGCCCTACACATCCCCGAGAGGAAAGGACAAGTACGTGGATAGAATGCTGTCTCAATCTGTCTTTGTTTTGCTCAGAATGTTGGTCTTTTTACTCATTTATTTGGAGTTTTAAAAATGGATTTATCACTCACAGAACAGCCAGAATGCTCCCTAGGAGGCAAGGGTGGTGAGACTCGTCGGACGCACTTTGGGCATCGTCTCAGGAGAGACCAGGCCCAAGAGAAGGGCGTCAAGCTCAGGAAAGCAGAGGGGCAGCACAAGAGAGGAGGGCCCCCGACAAGATGGAGGGACACAAGGGCTGCCTCAGTGGGCTCCAACAAAAGAACAACTGTGAGGATGCACAGGACCAGGCAGGCAGTGTTTCCCTCTGGTGGTGTCCTGGTTATGCATTGGGCTTTGAACCACATGGTTAGCAGTTCAAAACAACCAGCAGCTGTGAGGGAGAAAGACTGGGCTTCCTACTCCTGAAAACAGTTACAGTCTCAGAAACTCATGGGTCACTGTGAGTCAATATTGACTGGATGGCAGTGAGATTTTTTTTAAAAAATCATTTTATTGGGGGCTTGTACAGCTCATCACAATCCAGACATCCATCCATTGCGTCGAGCACATTTGTACATTTGTTGCCATCATTTTCAAAACATGTTCTATTTGAGTCCTTGGTATCAGCTAGTTTGGAAGAGGCTCTTCAGAGTCAGCCTGAGCCCATGCCTCCCAAGGAGATGTAGTCTCTACTCCAATAGAATGCAAGGCCAATGTCTGGGATAGGCGGGTACAAAAAGCCCAAGTCACTGCCACTGAGTCATGGTTTTGAACTGCTGACCTTGTAGATCTCAGCCCAGTGTGTGGCCAGGAGGGCTCCCTAGGCAGGTGGAAGCACATTTCGTATATTAATTCAATTTTTAAAAAAAACCAACTCACGGCCATTGAGTCGGTACTGACTCTTAGCGACCCTGGAGGGCAGGTGGAACGGTCCCATGGGTTTCTGAGACTGTCGCTCTTGATGGGGGTAAGAGGCCCCATCTTTCTCCCAAGGAGTGGCTAGTGGTTTCAAACTGCTGACTTTGAGGATCGAAGCCCAACTCGCAACCAGTGCAGGACTCCAATTCAATAAAGGTAGCGTGAAAATCTGCTGCTAGGACTGGATCCCCAAGCTGGGTTTTAGGGTGACAGCAGCAAACAGGAGAGGGAGGTCCCTGTGCACCTGCAGTGTCTATTGAATAGTGAGTGGGTGGTGGTGTTTGGTCAGAAATACTTAACCAGCATGATCTCGTCGTCGTCGGGTGAAATGTTCTGCTGAAAGTCAACAGGTGATGGCGAAGAGGAGGGCGAGGAAGGCTCACCGTGTGAAAGGTCCTTTTAGAAAGGAGCTGAGCCACATCTCTGAGGAGAAGGCAGGTGAGCTGAAGCCTGAAGGACCACAAAGATACCAGCCACCAGATCCTCTGCAGTCCAAGCAAGAGGCTAGCAAGTGCGAAGACCCTGAAGTTGGAAAGAGCCTGGGAGTTTTGAGAGGAGAACCGGGTAGCTCAGTATAAAGACGTAGAGGGCACCAGGAAACTGGGGAGTCGATTCCAGCAGTGGATCACAGCTGGTGTTGAGGACTCTTGAACCCATTCTGATTCGAAGCTGCCCCAGGTGTCTGAAAAGACCTGCCCCGGAGGGTCTTCTTGACTCAACTCCTCATGAAGCTGGATCGCCAGGTCTTTCTCCAGCTGAGCTGCTGGGATGGGGTAGACACATCTCTTTTATGATATAATGCCATGTATATGAAATCAGGTGTTGTATGGATTGTTAAGCAGAGAAATTTTCATGTAAGGAAATCTACCCCAATGCCAAGAAAACAGATATCCTCACAACTGGACCAACGGGGAAGCTCACGATAAATGGAGAGTAGCTGGAAGCTGTCAAAGATTCTGTTGGATCCATAGTCAATGCTCGTGGAAGCAGCAGTCAAGAGATCAAATGATGCACCGTATTGATTAAATCTGCTGCATAAGACCTCTCTAACGCAGCGGTTCTCAAACTGTGGGTCGTGACCCCTTGGGGGGGTTGAACAGCCATTTCACAGGGGTTGCCCGATTTCGTAACAGTAGTGAAGTAGCAACGAAAATAATTTTATGGCTGGGGGGGCTCACCACCACATGAGGAACGGTATGAAAGGGTTGCGGCATTAGGAAGATTGAGAACCACTGCTTTAAAGTATTGAAAAGCAAGGATGTTATTTGAGGACTAAGCAATCCCTGGTATTTTCAATCACCTCATATGCTTATGAAAGTTGGACACTGAATAAGGAAGACGGAAGATGAGTTGATGCATTTCAATTGTGCTAGAGGGGAACATTCAAAGTAGCACGGACTGCTGAAAGAGCAAACATATGTCTTGGCCTTGGGGGAAGTCTGGGCAGAGTGCCAGATTTTAACCTTGGTAAAGCGGGACAACATGGATACAACTCATATCCTGGAGAAATAGCCACATGGCAGCCGGAAACCGTATACCCTAGCTGGTCGTGCATTCTTTCCCAAAATCGGGACTTTTTAAAAAACGCAGCGGGATGTGGGAAAATTGTTCAAAAGCTGGACGTCTGGTCACCTTACCGGTATCACATGTAGCTACGATGCTGAGCTGGTCCCGTGTGACCACACGAAACGGAGCTGTAACAGGAAGCTATCGGAGAACGGGAAGGATGCTGCGCTTGTTTTAAGCCAGGAGCCTCGGAAAGGCTTGTACAGACGGAGAGAAAGGCTCTGATCCAGAGGGCGGCCCACAGGGTCCCGTCCTCGAGCAGGTCAGGAGGGAAGGAGAAGGATCCACAGGTGGGTGAGTGAGCGCCGCCCTCCTCTTCCTTCGGAGGCCCCGGGAGCAGGTGCGGCAGGTGTGAATTTTCGGATGCGAAGAAGCAGGCCGCTTGACCTTGAACTCGTCCACAAGGTCCTTCGGAAGACGGTGGAGAAGGGCTCGGTTAGAGGGCCGACCAGGCGGGACCCAACAGGAAGTGAGTGGTCCCGGCGCCGGCTCCTCCCCAGCGTGCCGCCGACGTGACGTATCCGCCCCCACGACCGGCGTCACGTGTCCGGCGTGCCACGCCCACCCGCCGCGTCGCTAGCACGCACACCAGCACG